TGCCCCTCCAAGGCCCAAAGGCTGGAGGAGCCCAGGGCCAGAGCTCTTACCCAAGCTTGGATCCTGCCGCGAGCCAGCTGCACCCTTCCGATCTCGAGTTTGGATCGTTCTCTGTTACCATGGGGACGGAACACGCATCGCCACTGCTTCTCTGCTGTTTCAGGCATTCTACACTCCGGACCTTCGGGACGGTCCGCTTGCCATTCCCAGATGAGGGAGGGGGAGGTGGGAGGGAGTGTGGCTGCTGAGGTGAAAAGATGGCACGAGTGACTCTCAGGGCATCCTGCGTGGAGCTGGTCCCCAGGATCAACACCTTTGAGCACTTAGGTGTCACCTCTGCTCCTTTGCCCCTTTGAGTGCCCTTCCTGGGCCAAGAGTTGCCGCGAGGGAGCAAAGCCCACATGCGTGGGACTGATCGGGAGTCAAGGCAGAGGAAATTCACAGACTGTGAGTCCCTGAGTGGACTGGCTGGTGTAGGGTGAGCTGGGAGGAGTGGGGAGGTGAGACTGCAGTCTATTTTTGTGCTGGGGCTGGGGTCTGGTGTTTGCACAGAAGTTTCATAAGAAAGAGAGCTGGGTGCTTGAAGTGTGATAATTCCGAGTGGTTTCCCGTCAATTGTTTTGGACTTCACTTTGCAGTTGCAATTCTTTGTTTCTCTCCTTGTTTGAAGGAGAGTCAGTCAAACCGTACAATCTGCAGGTAATCTGTAATGTAAAGAATTGTGAGGACCGTGTGCTTATCGCCTGTTCCTGGCTCCTGAGGTCTCTTGGTGACCTGGGACAGATCCTGGGAAGAGCTGGGAACCGCAAAACAGAGAAGCTGCTGTGGACATAGACCCACGTGGACAGCAACAAACAGAAAGTGGTCAAGTGGCCACTTCTACCCCTCTACGCCAGGATATGGAAAAGATGGAAGAAAAACAGAAGGGGAAAATCCCAGCCAGGATCTTGAGGTTTGGGGATCAGAGCTGAAGCCAGGAGACAAAAGGATGCTATCTCTGTATTAAGAGTTCTTGGGATTGTGCCCTCTCTCCCTGTTTTATTGGGAAGGAGATGGAGAACCAATTAGGCTGCCTTGGGCATCTACAAGGGCGGTGCCAACAGCTGGCCCGGGAGAATGACCGTAGACCCCTGTCATCTCTTGCTCTTACACAAATCTAAGCAAAAAGCGTGCTTGGTGTGCACACGCAGCTTCAAGAAATGTCTCCAAGTCTGTCACTTCAGACAGTGACCTCAGCTCTCATGTCAGGGTCCGTTTCAGGGTTCACCGACAGCCTGGTGCAATAGTTCGCTGAAGTCTTCCAAAACATGGCACCCAGAGGTTTTGATTTTCAGTGTTTTATATTGATGAGGTAATTCCTTTGTGAAGATTGTTTTAAACACCTACTATGTGTCTTTATTGTATCAGAAGGAGCTGGGGGTACAGATTGAGCAAGACAGACTAAGTTTCTGATTTTAAGTTATTTCAAAAGCCCCATATTTTTACAGTCCTAGGACCCACAGCGGAAGAGCAAAATGTTTCCCCATTTTATTGCTGATCGATTCTTTTGATAGTTCTGCTACTTCTGACAATGGCATACTCCTCGCGTTCTCTAGACTGGTAGGCACGGGCAGACTCTTATTTATGTCTGGAGGAGGGGATTAACTTACACCTGCCAGATACATCACCGCCCGAGGCTCAAGTCTCAACTGGTGCGATTCTGAGTTGTTGCCGACACTAGCTCGCCATCTGGCCATTCAGCTTGGATTCATCTGCCATTGGAGGCTTTCACGGTTCTTTTCAAAAGAATTATTGTTTTTAACTTATGTGTACACGTGTGCCTGATGCGTTTATGTGTATTACATGTGTGCAGGTGCCTGAGGAGGCCAGAGTACATGGCAGTGACAGGTGGTGGGAACTACGGATGTGGGGTCTAGGAACTGCACTAGGGTCAAGCCCTCTCAGCCACCGAGCCGTGTCTCTAGCCCCTTCATGGCTCTTTTTAATAAAAAGAAAAGGGGGGTTGTCTTTGAAGTGCCCTAGAGACTACCTAGCCTTCAATTAAGAATGAATTGGTTCTTTGCTCTAGGTGGAAATTTATCGGTCCCTTCCTTTTGTAGTGATTACCAGCCTGGCTGCTGGACCACCTGTCCCAGAGAAGAAATGCAATGTAGTGCCCACTCTTGTCAAAGGCAAGCCTGGCATCATAGTGTGGGAGGGGCGGAGAGGCAGGCGGAGGTCCTTATGAGCTGTCTGCCCTCCTGGGTTCAGTAAACTGTCCCCTTAGGTTCCTGAATGAAACATCTTTTCAGACTTTTCTATACCGCATGGCTGCTTCTAGCCACGCCTCTGCTCAACTTTCAAGGAAGTTTCTTTGTAGGCTGAGAGGAGAATGGCGATCAATCGGTTTCATTGTTTTACCTTAAGGATGTACCCATGAAAGACACTGTTTGCCTTTCTGTGGCTGTCCATTTGACGTGGCCTTTCTACCTGGGTGTCCAGAAGGAATATGCTGTTCCATGTGGCCCTTCCCCCAAGTTATCCTTTCTCTGGTTTCTGCCATCGGGTCAAGTGCAGCTGCACTGCTCAGACCAGCACCTAGAGACACCTTGGGGGCTCTCCACACACAGTGTGGTTCCAAAGGTAATTAGTTCCTCAACCCAAATATGCATCCAACAGCCGGACATTTTTCTTATCATTTCCTTTCTTCCCTGGAAAATTTCACGAGCCTCTTAATTGGTCTTCCAATTCTCTCCATCTATAGCTAACATAGAGTAACTCTTTAAAACATGTCAGGTCATACTTACCACGGCTGCTCTTCTCCTTGGAAAGATAAAACTCAAGGTCCCTGTGCCTGTTCCTTGCCTATTACCTGCTCCCTGTTCTGTGACTTCAGAAGGCTTCACCTTAGATTCCTGGGCACTCATACTGGTTACTGTTTGCTGACTTCCAGTCAGGGCAGCCTGGAAGCTGACCTCATTTCTCTGGCTGTCTGGCCCCCTGCCTGCCCTTTTGATTCCTCTATGCCCCATTCTTGACTTGTCACCCCTCACTGGCACCTATGCCACCGGCAATGCCCCAGTCTCATGGGTGAACCTCTCTGCTTGTTTGTGCCTGGAAGACTCCTCCCAAGTCATTCCCATGGCTCCTCCCTCTTCCTCTTCACATGTTCCCGTATGTATCACCTTAAACTGCATACATGCCCACTCCGAGCTCATAGCACATTTCACTGTATGACACATTCTCTGTTTGATTTGTGCCTGTCTCACCTGACTGGACCAAGGTCCAAGGACAGGGACATTTGTTGTGTCTGCTCTTTTGTGCCCTGGCATGGAGAACAATGCCTGGGACTCAGTAGGCACTCAATATGTATTTACTGAGTTCATAATTAAGTCCTCTGGAGGCTAATGCAAGGACGAAAGCCATCTTTATTTCAAAGCTACATGTCTTTAGGCAACATGACGAAGATTATATATACACTGAATAATTTTTGGCGTCACTATCGAAAAGGTAAAGTTATCGTTATGATTACTGTCTTATTTAGGGTCTCTAATTCAGTACTTCCGCCTTGATGATTTTTTCACTGCCTTTAGGCTTTTTTATTTATTCACATGCATGCAAATAAATTTTTGTGCATGTGTGTGTATGTGTGTGTGTGTTTGTGTGTATGTGTTTACACATATTCACATGCATGTTCACACACCATAGGGCGCTTGTTTTTCTCTCCTTCCACCATGCGGGTCCCCGGAAGTGAACTCAGGCTGCCAGCCAGGCCTGGTGGCTGGTGGCTTTCCCCACTGAGCCATCTCACTGGCCCACCTTATAGACTTCTCCTTGGAGAACTTCGTGCATGTGTATATCCTCGGATAGTATTAATGTTAACTATCAATTTATTTGCGACAAGGTCTTCCTGTATAGCCCAGGCCTTTTGAACTTTTGATCCTCCTGCCTCAGTCCCTGAGTGCCGGGATTACAAGCACTGGCCATCTTGGCTGTCTCCTGGAACCTTTTAAGCTCCCAGTAAATATTTGCCGAGTAACTGCATGCTAAACCATTTAAATCTCGTTTGGAAGTGAGTGCAATATAAAGAATAAATTATTAAGGACCTGTAGTGTGATAGCAGTGCAATGGTCTAGAAGAGGCAGCAGGTGATTAGCAGAGGGGAAGCCGGAGAGGAAGGAGGCTCTGTGTGTGGTCCACAGATAGGGTAATTGCTATTTGTCATCCAGACTGGGGCCCTTGTGTCCGAAAGAGGGAAGATAAGGGTGAATATGTGCAGACAAAGGCGCACACTGGCATCACCTACAGAAAGCTGGGGAAAGCACACTTTAGCAATAGTCAATGCGCGCCACTGACGGTGACAATACAGTCCCTTTGCTACACAGATATTAGCTTTCCTCGTTAAGAAATCTTATTCAAACGTAGGAACTTAGAATGAAAGTTTAAAAAGGCATTAATCGGACTTCAGGTTCAGAAGAGCTCTTAGTTAACATGGATGCCAACGGTGCTAGGGGCAGCCCTCAGCTTTAGAAGGGTTAAATATACAGATTGATTTTGTTTTTCTCCCAGCATTGACTTCAGTCAGCACTGTTTTCAAACCCAAAGAGAGGGAGCCCTGAATCGTGGTAGATAAAGACAAAGGCAGGATACCAAAGAGAGTTATTTCTGGGATTCATGGTTATTTTTGTTTCTCTTTTCTGCTTGTTTTTGACAAGGTTTCACACAGAACAGGGTGGCCTTGAACTCTTTAAGTAACCCCAAATGACCTTGAACTCTTTATGTAGCCCCAAATGACCTTGAACTCCTGTTCTTCCTGCTGCCGCCTTCCAAGGGCCAGGTTTACAGGTGGGTACCACCGTGCATGGTTTATACAGCACTGGAATCGGATGATTCTAGATCGGCACTTTCCCAACTCAGCTACAGCCCCCCCATCCCATCCCCATCCTGTGACTCCAGAAGGCTTAGCCTCAAATTCCCAGGCACTCAGGCTGGGTAAACCCCCTCCCCCCCTTGGAACTGACCTGCTTCTCTTCCTGTTGTCTGTTCCCTGTCTGCCCCTTTCCCAAAGGCGAAGCCGACTTTCTTTCCTCTTCAGCCATCACCCACCAAGTCTCTCACTCAAAGGCCAGTCCTGAGGTTGCTGCTGGCAACAAGAGAACCCGGAGCCTAATGGAGAATCCGGAGATACCATCTATTGCTTTCTTGCGACTGCCTGTCACTTAGCCACACAGCCAGATGAGCGTGGAGGATAAGGCTTTTCACTAAGCCTCGCTGGTGACTTTTTTTTGCCACTTCTTGCTCCAGGTGACTGTAAACGGACCCTGCGGAATCTATTTTTAACATCTTTCAGCGAGGATGGTTTTGAAGGAGCTCTTAGCAATTGCTAGGTGTGTTTTTTTCTCCTTACACAGCAGGCCCCAGTTTCACCTTCATTTAAGGAAGGGGTGCAGGGCATGCTTTAACCCTTGCTAGCAGCTTCCTTTTCACAGGCCTTTGTGCCTTGGACCCCGCCTACATTTTTATTATCTATGAATTTATTTACTGTGTGCATGTACAAATGTATTTGTGTGCATATTTGTGTGGCGTCCAGAGGACACGCCCTGGTGTTGTTTTCCAGGAGGATTGTCTATATTTTGAGACAAGGACCCTCCCTGGCCCTGGGTTCATTATTTAGGCCAGACTGGCTGGTCAGCAAGGCCCAGGGATCCACCTCTACCTCCCAAGGGTTGGGGTTACCAAGCTCATGCTGTCTCTCCCAGCACCTTCCATGTGGGCTCTGGGGTTCTCATTCTGGTCCTCACTCTGGCAAGGCAAGCCCTTACTGAGTTTAGCTACATTTTCACCCCCATTGCTTCTTGATTCTGATTCTCCTCTGTATTTCTCTTTTCTCCTTCAGAGGGCAGTTGACTTTGATGATCAGATATCATCTGACTAGACCTTCTAAAGGCGAGGAAAATGTTTTGAGATGCTTGCTTTCTGTTTTGTATTTTGAATGTCTGCTTTTCTTACTCTTTCGGTGGCTCTTCAATCAAAGAATATAAGAGCCTCTTTGATTTGGGCAGGCTCTCTTATATATCTTGGGGTCTGGATCCCAAGTTGGCCATAAGGAATTGTCCTGTAGGCAGGAGGGGAGGAATGTTTTTCTGATCCCAATAGGAACAGAAGAGTGATCATCAAGTCTGTGTGCTGCTAACTTGCCTCTACCAAACAGAGTCATTGACCACATCTGAAGATGTAAAGGAAAGAGTAAGCGCTGAAGAATAGGAAAAGAAGCCAGGGAGATGCACTATGGAGCAAGAGGAGGAACAAGAGAGAGAGAGAGAGAGAGAGAGAGAGAGAGAGAGAGAGAGCGAGCTGCGGGCTATCTCTCACTCTTTGGTGGCCGTACCTAATTGTGCTACATGTCGTGGCTGAGATGTAGTTTGTATTTTGACTGAATATTTTAGGCAGAACAACTTGACTTGTAGTTGAGACACTCACAAGTTATATCTACATTTGCAAAGAACCAATCATCATAATGGCCCTTAGGGTCTGTGGGGGAGCAGAACCTCAACCAAATTCCTCACCTTGCGGGGAGGGGTCACTGATGGGGATCAATGTCGTCCTAAGAACATTTTCTCTGGACACTGACTCATGGGGGAGGTCCCCGTTCTGTAGCAAGCTTGGTCGCCTTCCCAGAATCTTCTCTTACCTCCCTGGATGGACATCAGATTTGCTGCAGACAATCCCGAGCTCCCCACCTTCAGGCAACAGTTGATGGAAGATCCTTCTCGTTGTTCCTCTTGGATCATTTTCAAAACTCTTCCTGGGCATTGTTGGAAGAAACTCCATCTTTTTGTGGTACCTGTTCATTGCAGGGCTTCTGGTGTTTCACACACATGGGGACTTGGAGTGATGGCTTCTTATTGTCGGTTTCAGTAGGGCAACCAGATTGAGAACCTTTATGTTCTTTCTCTGCTGGAGACTGAACCCAGGACCTCGTGATTTTAGGCAAGCACTCTAACACTGATCTATAAAATACCCAGCCCTGAGTATTTTTAAATACCCCTGGAAAAACAGAGCAAATGTAAGGTTCTTTTCCAGTTTGGCCCTAACGCAAAGTCAATGCGAGTTCGCAGTTCTCTCAGGCTGCCCTTGGACGTGAGATTTCGAGGCGGAGGAAAGCTTAGCTCTGTAAACAAGAGGGCATTTCTACTGCACAGTGCCAGCAGGCCCTGAGTCGTGCTCTCGACGCAGGGTGGAGTGTAAATCTCCCTGGAACCTGAACTGTGCCGTTTGTCCACACGCTCACTTAGCTCTCCTGTGTAGACAGGGGACCTCAATATAAGAGCCTTTGACTTATTATACTGAGATGCAAGCGGTTTCCATAACCTATCCAAGGGGATGATGAACTCATCAAAGGAAGAAAGTTGTCTGGCTTCCGGAGACCTGGCCTGCAATGGGGGGCTTGTTCCTCCGTGATTTATAGTCACTTTTTAATGCAGTTGGGATTGGGAGCGAAGGTCAGAGTGGGTATTTTAGCAGATGTATGAGAGTGAATTTTAGATATAAATTATGCAACGTTGGAAGTTCGTTACAGATACGAATTGAGCACCTCCTTGGTGGCGTTTAGGGAGTTGTGACTGATTTGTGGTTGGCTTATGTATGAGAATAGGTTGCCCCTCTGTTATGAAAGTATTTTTCACATTAGGACAACCGTAATTAATTAAGGGTTCACGTGGTGGGGTCATGAATGGGAATGCTTGGTGAAACGACCCTCTCTAAGTGTGTGCCTGCCCACAAGGCCTCGGCAGTTTTCTTTCAGAGTTCACACAGGAGTCATTGGAGCTTCTCCGAGTTCTTCATGCAATGCTTTTACTGTTCCATTAAAGCCATAGCTTGCTTGAGGGGCAGCTGGGAAGCTTACTTTCCCCAAGACAAAGCAAAGCTTTGTTCTGTTTCAGTTCCAGACAACTGGTTATTGATTTGGGGGTAGAACTGATTTAACTTCTCTATTTGAAACTTATAATGTCTCCCGGCAGCTTAGCTTTTGCCAGCCAAGCTAACTAGACAAAGGAAGATGTGAACCTGAATAGTTCTTCCAGGCCTGCTAATCTTTTGGGGTACTTTCTGTGGTAGCAGGGGTGCCCCGAAACTCTGGCCTGAGTTTTTTTTTTTTTTCTGAAAGAGCAGAAGCCCTGGGAGCCAAAGTAATTGTTTTCATATGAGGCTTTTAATGCTAAACATAAATCCTAAGGACACTGACCCCCCCTGGGAAAACTAAGACTTCATGTTGAAGCTGCCACATCCTGTTGGCAAGATGGCAGCTTAAGCCTGTGGAAGAGCAGGAAGCCACCACTGAAGATTCTGAGACTTGCTTGAGAAGGAAGGATAGAGACAGAACAGTAGGTGTATGGTGCTGTCCTAAACACTTGAGGTACATTTTGTCACTTGAATTTCATGGGAGAAAGTGGCCTGTAGTTGGTGGTTTGCTTTCTTACTTTTTACTCTTTTGCTCTTTCTTCTCTCTTGCTTTTTCTCCTTGTTCTCTGACTACTTTTTTTCTCCTCCCAGATTTCTCCTATTCAGTCTCTCTGCCTGCCAGCCCCACTTACCCTTGCTCCTGCCTTGCTATTGGCCATTCAGGTCTTTATTAGACCATCAGGTGTTTTAGACAGGCAAAGTAACACAGCTTTACGGAGTTAAACGAATGTAACATAAAAGAATGCAACACATCTTTGCATCATTAAACAAATGTTCCGCACCACAAACAAATGTAACACATCTTAAAATAATACTCTGCAACAGTGGCTAGCAACCTCACATTCAACAGAAGTTTGGGGATATTTGAGCGCAATGCCTTGGAGAATTCACTGGTAGACGCATGGCCAAGAACAACACTGGGAAGGCCTCCAGAGCACGCCGGTGCAAACTGTCTCTCGAACAGGCTGGCTGAGATGAGAGGCAGGACAAAAATGCATGTTACCCTGGGTGGGGAGGGGCTCATCTGCTAGGGATCCAAATGGAATGCTTTTGCTCTGTGATCTCACCTAATCTTTCCTCATGAGGAATCTAATTTGAACTGAGAGGTCCTAGTGCCATTCTCTAAATTATTCTGGCCTTGCCCATTCTGCATGGTTTCCCCAAGAAGCTGGAATTGCCCTTTTTTGCTGTTCTTATAAGAATGTCTTAGTCAGCTCAGGTAGGGAGGGTTTATATCTAAGTCACCATAGGCTTAACCTCCTGGTCATCTTGTCCCCAGGAACTCACACAGGCAGAGTGCCTTTTGTTCTTAGGAACAATGGTTCCAAAAGCTGCATTCCAGTGGTGGGAATGAGGGGGAGGGCATGGATGGTCTGATCATTTTCCTATGTTCTATTTAGTTATTTATTTTTGTCTATGTATATGCTGTGTGTACATGTGTGTATGCATGTTCATATGCTGTATATGCATGTTGGCTTGTGCGAGGGCAGGGAGAGAGTTTGCATGTATTTGGGCCCATGTGTATATGAAGGCTCAAGGTTGACGTTGGGATCCGTCCTCCATCATGCTTCTACCATTCACTGAGGCCTCTGCATCCACCTGGCATTTATGTGTGCTCTGGAGATCAGAGCTGAAGTCTTGGCGTGGGTGAGGTGGTTCTCTAATCACTGAGCCATCTCCTTCTCCACCGTGACCTTTCTGAAAGGGGTGGCTTCCGCCGTTTGAATACCATGCAAGGAACTGAAGACACAGTGTCAGAAAGCATGCCTGGAGAGGAGCAATGTGTCTCCCGCCACCCAGGGATGGGATTTTTAGGGAAGCAGGAAAGGAGCCCTGTGTGGACAAACCTCTGTGGGGTCAGTTCTCTGTCACCAGAGTCTCCTTGGCTACCCCTGGAGCCTCTCCACTGGCCATTCTTTTCTTCCCTGTTGGTATTCTGATTTTCTTCTTTTTCTTTTCTTCAAATACTTTCTCTGGGAGTGGATTATATATTCTCAATCAGTATTATTCTTGCAATCAGGTTTCCATCCACCCGACGTACATACCATATTTCCTTGGGTTTTTAGATTCTATTCCAAAATACACCATCATTTTATTTACCACCTCAGGGGGGAAAAAACCCCAGCTCCAATGAAATTACATTGTAATGCTCTAAT